CAGATACGACCTATATCACCTTCCACTACATCACAGATGATGCCCATTTCCAAAAGCATTTCCATATATTGATTTACCAATTAAGTTAATCAGTTGCTATGTAAACTTATTAAATTAAATCATCCATATAGAAAGCCAGTGTCAAAAGGAAACCTAATATCAACCTTGTTGTCCTAGTTTTGCCTATAGGTGCAGAACGTAAGAAACAACAGTGCCTGGATGTGTTCCAACAAACCTGATGCTCTATCTCCTTTGGAATTAAATTTGTCTAAGTTGAAGCAGTGTAAGTCTGAAATACATCTGACTTCCTACGTTCCTTCTGCAAAGCAGTAAGACAAGAAAAAGACATATCCAAGTAGTTCAGCTACCAGAAAAGCTGCAAGATGATTTTGACCAGTGTCTGATTTCAAGCACCAGCCACAACAAGCTTATTATGACATGAATTGGTATGATAAACATTCCTCTTAACTAAAACATCTCACCAAAATATACCAGTTTTAATAGCTGAGTTGCTTTAAAAACAGGAAGGTACCAAACAAACTGAATATATTCTAGCACCTAGCCATAATGAAGAAATTAAGTTAAAGATTGTTAATCAAATTAATAACCAGTGATTTACTCATGTTAGCTTCCACAATCACACATCAGCATTCTTCTCTGGCCACTAGATTCCTAAAATCCTGTTTGCAAATATACTAACAAAATTATTCTTCTGCTTCTTTGGAATTAAGACAAGACGTAAGCATATAACTGAATTGTATGGTGATGAAGTTCAATCTATAACAAGCAGAATAACTTTCAACTCATCATGAACACAGGTACAGCATTGGAAAGGCAGAATTTTTGCCCAGCTTCACTGCAGTATGAAAAATACAAATCCTGTATTTCACAGGATCTTTTATCTACCTGCTTCCATGCATCTTAGGCCCCTAAGTAATGACCACACAGACCAGTCAGCTTCTTTTGGTGCAAATAAACTGTCCAGTCCGTGCTCCTCTATTACTCTTCTTCCACAGTAAAAAGTGCCTTTTCATTAACTTACTGCGTAAAATTGCTCTTTGATAAGCACAGTCTTTGTACGAACATGCCTTGAACAGTTTCTACTATATAGCATCCATAGTGTAAGAGGCAGAAAGACCATAAAGGCTATAGAGTAATTGTTATGCTAGAAGTCCATTTAATAGATGCTGCTACTCATTTTAAGATTTCTTAGTAATTTAACACCCTTACAACTACGATCTATCAGTGGGAACTTCTTAAATTCATTTCACATTCAATTATTGCATTTGTTCATTACAAATGCCAATCTGAAACAGAAAGCATCAGTACTGAGTTACAGGTTTTAAATTTACCACAAAAAACAAACCATCCAGAAAATGTTGGCCTTACAATTAAATTCTCTTAACTTCTAACACAATAGTAATTCTCTCAAGGACTTTTTGGAATTCAAGAATCCTATATACTTTCTCCAAACAATGCCTACTTTTGTTCTTTTTCTCACATGCAAAAATTCAGTTATACCCTAGCCAAATCATTAAGACAAGAGAGCATAATGTACAGTTGAGTTTAAGAGTTAAGAGGCTTTCAGAGGTCCTTTTGCAGACAAGAGCATAACTGCTAAGAGGCCATCCTAATGTAAAATCCACACTGCAATCACACTATCACTGACTCAACTATTACACTGAGGTGTATGCATAACTACTTATTTTCTGATATTACAAAGCTGTACAACTTGAGAAATAAAACTTTCAGAGTTTTTGTTTACTGCTACACAATGAAAATGTGCAAGACATTAGTAAATACCTAGTTATAAAAATAAATGGGCAATATGCCCATTTAGGCTGCACATTATGAAATAGAAAGACAAGTAATACATACACAGGGAAATTTTACAGTTATTTTAAATCCCTAATACCAGCATTGTAATCAGCCACTTTCTATCCCCTTGCAAGACAGTACTGCACTTGGAAAAAATGCCCATTACTATCTAGAAAAGCAGAGGGCAATGTAAATAAATTATATACTCCACTCAAATTAGCACGCATTAGTACTTTGCTAACACTGGAAGAAACTTTTTTAGCTAATCATGGGAAAGCTCTAGCCAAACAAGCCCAAGCTATGAACCTGATCCAATAAACTGCAAAGCCTGTCCATAAAGCTTCAATTTCTTGGTGACCAAGTAGTTTGCCTATGTCTTGAAAGATATCTGATTAAAGAACTCAAAATTTAGATAAAATACAAGCATGTAGTTTGTCAAAGATGCCAGCTAAAAAGCCAGTAGCTTGGTTAAAGAACCTGATCCTCCTTTTAAAGAGTTTATAGCCTTTGTAAGGCCTTGTTCAAACTCTCAAATCATCAGCCAGGAGTACAGTAATGCTATATTTGTCTTAATACTACAGCAGTGAAAACGTGAGGTCAGCAAAGTTCAGCCATCCACATCTATGCCAGTAAATGGCCCAAGAAACCTACTGAATGTAAACCAAAACACCAGAGTTCAACACTAGAAAAGCTCACATACATCAAGACGAAAGCTAACTAATGCTACAATTCTTTACATAATCCAAGATGCAAACACATTTCACCACTTACGATGACAGGGAAAAGTGCTTTTTAAATAACTCCTGCAATATTTGAACAGCATAGCCTGTATAAACATAACAGATCTGATACTGAAGAACAGAAGTGTACCATATTACATGCTTGATCACACATTGTATTCTGCATGATTGTTTGCTAAGTGCAGAATCTACAGAACTGTTTCTTCTGTATCCTAAGAAAAGAGAAGAACTTCTATACCATACCACAGTCAACTGAAGCTTAACTATCCAAATTAGTACCAGGCAGCTACAATTTCAAGCCTCCCCTGCCAAAACAGTGTAATCCCTACAACTTGCCATACTATTAAAGGTGTCAAAATACTAAATAAAATGTATTGGTGGAAGAGTTATCTGTTAAACACTGTTCTTTGGTGCACAATTCTCCACACCCTTGGAAGAACACACAATACATTATTCCCAGAATTGGAAAACATCTTCCAAGTTCCATTTATTTGATACCTATCACAGAAATCCAAACTAGCAATTGTGTTTAATCAAATTACAAGCATAACGCCAATTCACAAAACTAGAAAATACTAAACCAGAATGAAACACACTAGAAAAACAGCATGTGTTAATTTGCAGTTGGTTAAAATGCGCAAAAACCTGCAACCTTCACTACATGAAACCAACTTTCATTATTACAGTATTGTTTCTCTTTTTCCTTCTAGTGTAAGATGAACGATCTAGTACTTTGAGATCCACTCATCAGCAGCAGGTAACCAAAACTTTCTGACTTTAAGACACAAGACAAAATATCGACAAATTATTTCTTCCAAAGATACTTTGTGAGAGGCATCTCTTGACTGCCCACTTTGGCCCCTCTACTGAAAGCATTGCTGAACAAGAAAGGCAGAAAAGCACAGTCAGCTCTGTCTACTGCACTAGACACAAAATTATTAGCTAACATGGCAAAGTGCTAAGTAACTACAGACCACTCGTGTCATACCTGCGTCATGTGCTCATATTTTGAAAGATAAGATTATTTATTATTTCAGTGTGTTCTAATACATAAAATATCAACATCCACAACCTTTACTCAGCAACCCAAATTAAACAAATCACACAAAGCAAGCTCCAGTGAAAGAGAAAAAGAAGGAAGAGATCAAATCTCTGAAGGTCATCGCTTCCCACAGATAAATTAGCTAAAACACACATTCTTCCCTTTTTCTTTTGTTGCAAATTTTCAACCACGCTAACTACGGGACAACAAGCATTTGAGGAAGAATTAACTCTGAGAATTTTTTTTAAACAGCTAATAACAAGAAAATAACTTTGTCCACAGAAAGGCATGCACAAAAAGCCACAACATTCTTCTTGAGGCTGATCTGAAAAACACGAAGTAATGTATCTGAAAGCAGTTATCAGATACAAAAGTTTTCAAACTAAAAAAATACAAGATAAGCATTCACATTATGAAGTACTAGCTGCCATTTTTTAGGAATCATTCAATAAAAACACTTTATTGACAAAATCTGAAGAAAATTATAATTAGCTCCTGTAACCTCCTGTTTGCATACCCTGTTTTGCAAAATAAAGATGTTTGTACTACCATCTCTGCAAGAGCTGGAAAGGAAACTAGTAGGAAACCATGTCTTAATCTACAATAGTCTAAGCAGCAATTTTATCTACAACACAGGTAAACACACCAGGGTAGATTCACTTCTGCATTTTCTTATATCATTTTTAAAGTTTTTAGCATAATCTCTAAGCAGGTACCATGCAACTCCCCATATTGTTTGACAAAGTTAATTCAAAGATGCAAGATACTACATGAATGCACGGCCCATGATTAGCTATAGGAATTACTTTTAGGTAATTGAAAACATAAAAGCACAGTCTGCATGTCCAACTATTACCAAGCATGCAAGCAGTTAATTCTCAATGTAATTTGGTTTTGCGCAGTTACGTTTGAATTATTCCTTTAATCACAGTAAATGTGCAGGCAAATTATATCTGCCTATTTTATGTACCTGGCTTTGAAAGAGATCCTATCTACCAGAAATTCCAAATCTGTCAATTAGATTATTTGGCTGTATTAACTCATAAAAGAAATATATGGGACACAGAGTTTTGTATCTGTGAGATGACGTCAAATCTCATAATTAGGTATGCATTCCTCAGACATCCACCATTACCAGGAAGAATCAATTAAGTTTTAATATGTTAGGAGCATTGACGATGTTAATAGACTATAAAAACTTAAGAAACCAGGAATCCGGGTAGGTAACCATATTCTGAAGCTTCTGAAACCACCTCAATTTTACTATAAAGCTCTGAGTAGTTTGCAAACTTCATTTCTAGTTTGCATTTTTGTGTTTGGTACCAGACTTACAGAAAAAATATTGCAAAAATATAAAAATGGCCTAATTTGAACCCATAAATATTGAACTGAAAAATTACCTGAATTCATTCCATAGATATTCTTCTCCCACACCAGGCTCACAGCATGAAAAACATCTTGAAATAACTGATCTAGGACAAAGGACAAGAAGAAAAAAACAGATAGAAAAAGTACTTTTCTTATTTTTATTTGCAACCCATTGTCACAGGAGAGAGTGGAAGGTTTAGACAAGTTATTAAAAAAGCCCTGCTGTACAGTCAGGAGGTACAGAAAGGACTCCCTTGCTTTCTAAACTTCTTCTCAGAGAAGGGTTTAGGTGCAGCTTAATCAATCCTATCTTAGCCTCAGACTGTGTCAACGGTTTCAATTTAAAGAATTACAGAGGTCTGATTAAATCATTTTGTCCTATAGGTTTTTAATAATGGCAAAACGGATATATTTATATAAAATGAATTATTTACTATGACAACTGAACAGACAAAAGATCTTAATCAAAATTATGTATTACGCAGTGTAAAGCTAAAAACCTTCTAGAAGGGCATTATATAACAGAAAGGGGTACAGGTATAGGGCACTGTAACAAGGCAATTATATTAAAGCAACTGTATCAAAGCTAGCAAAAGAAACAACCATTAAGTAGAGATTGATATAATTCACAATACAAGATAGCTGGTAGATCTCTCTTAGTCCCTGGGGAGTAACCATGAAGATGCGTCCCTGCTTCACAGGAAAAGCTCCACACTTCAAGAAAGTGTGTGGAAGAGTCTGCCACGTGAAAGTTGGACTGGGCTTTTATAGTTATAAAGTGATGGACTGGTAGTCACAGATTTACAGGCCAGTGACCAGCTTATCTGCCAAATCCTGCTTCAAAAACCAGGATGTGTATCTGAAGCCTGGTGAACCTGGCTGGCTTTAGCATAATTCAACACCAAGACAGCACCCCGGCTCCAGCAGTAGAACTTGCATGATGGCCTGCATAATGGCCTGCACGATGAGCTGCATAATGCCTTGCATTGTACGCATTGTCTGACCGGATTCTAGGCCTTATCGGGCACTTCGCCCTGCCCCACCCATGTTTCTTTTTAATTCAATCGCACGTATGAAATCCACAGTCCTAGTCGGAAGGAGCCTGACACAGGCTTCAGCAACAGCAAGTCAGATCTATCAAGTTTCCACAGCTGCTAACAGCAGACATCTAGTAAATAGTAAGTGTAGGAGCAGCTTATAATTTACTTTTCCAGAATACCATCTAATTCTTCAGAAACGTATATATCAAGGAGTCCTTAGGCGCAGCGGGTATTACTCGCATTTGGTGGAGTTTGATGATTTTTTTCCCATAATTCTGAACCTTTGTAGGCCTTTAGTATCCAAAACATCTCATGACATAGCACTCTACAATCAACAATATGCTAGGTGATGTATCTTCCTCTGCATATTTTGAGTATTTCGCATTTTAGTTTTATCTGATACCTCATGTGCACACTGGGAACAGTTATCAAACTGCTTTCTGACTACACATGACTTACAGATCTCTACCATGGTCTCATGCAGTGAATCTCTTCCAAGCTGAAAACTTCTCGTCTCACCACAGAAAATCCATTCCACATTTCTGATCATCATTGTATCCTATTTCTGGATCTTTATCAGTTCCAGTAAATTATTTTTAGTCATGGGAAATGGATATTAAAGCTGCAAGCACTATTCAAGATGCAAGTAAACCATGAATTCACACAATGGTGTAACAATATTATCACATCTGGGTGCAGCCCTCACAGAGTCCGGACAGTGGTTTGGCCTAGCTCTCAGTTTTCGGAAAGGCTAATTTACAAGTACCCAAAAGTTCAGAAAAATATTCATTGCTAATACAGTCTGTAATATTCATGGGGATAGAAAATGCAGGTGGTGGATGTGAATTGCTTCCTGATTAAGCACTTTCAAACAGTTCAACTAGGTCTGTCATTTCTGCCAATACACATTTCTCAAAAAAATCTCCCAACTATATGGCATGTAATTACCTGCTTTTGCAGGTCTCCTCCCAAAAGATACTGTTTTATCTTGGATTTCACAACTCCTTAACATCAAAATATATATATCCTTTTCAACCCAAGGTAATGCCATGAAGCTGCATCAGGGGAGGTGGTTGGGCACTGGAACAGGCTCCCCGGGGAAGTGGCCACAGCACCAAGCCTTGCAGAGTTCAAGGAGCTTTTAGACAACGCTCTCAGGCACATGGTGTGATTCTTGGGGTGTCCTGTGCAGGGCCAGGAGTTGGACTCAATGATCCTTGTGGGTCCCCTCCAAATCAGGATATTCTATGATTCTACAATTCTGCAAAGATTTGTATATCTCAGTAAATCCAAAGGAGATTTCCACAGGGACAACAAAAGAACATTGTGAGTTTAGAAGTTTCACCAACTCAAATATAAGCCATACCTACAACCTTGAAGGCAACAAATCAGTTAAGAAAAAGCTTTTCTTTTATTATTAATTAATAATTTCCCAAATTTTAGAGATTTTTACTGATGTCAGTTTTGAAATATTTATCATCACTGATTCAAATCAAATACTCCAAATACATCATTGAATCCAACCAAACATGAAGAGTTTGATTCCTAAAACCTAGAGAGTTTCTTGCACTTCTTTATTTCTATGCCTTTATTAATAGCGCAGTTAGCAGACTTCTACACATTTCCCCTATTTTAATTTTAAATCAAAATTACTCTTTTTTTTCAAAACAGTTTATGATTATAAACAATTTATCCACCTCCAAAGTCATAGGTTCATTTACCATTTTAGCAACTTACACATTGTTTTAATCAAAGAAATAAACTGTGAAAATTAAACAAAACCTGTCTCAGCACAGTAATTTTTGTCATACAACATCTACCATGAATAGAAGTACTTATCTAGGTCTTCTTACAGACAAGCTATCGGCTAGTAACTGGCCTTTTAATTTTATCAGACAAAACCCAGCAGGAAATCACAGGTCTAATGAGCTAAATCCACCTTTTACAGGCAGAAATGTCACAAAGGAACTAGAATGCATTTTGTTTGTAAGATTTTCCCTTAATATCTGTATCTGAATTATCCTACCATGTCTGAAAATCAGAAAATTAAACTGATTAGACACTGAAATTTTTTCAATAATCAGTTTTCACAGAGAATTTAGAATCTTGACAAGTTTTCGAATCCTTTTTTATTCATATTGTCCTCAGTTTTCAGGGTATACCGTCCCACAAATGTTAGATGTAAACAGAATTAAGGATAAAAATCAGTATTTGCATAACTCAGCAATATGACAAAGCCAACAACTCAACCACTATGTGCCAATCCACATTTTGAACAGACTGGAGGAAAGTGCAAGCCCACGGAAGAATTTTTTATGACACACGCTGGCATCCAAGAAACCTGAAGTAAATACTAAGTTTTCATAAATCAAAACTACAATAAGAGTTTATAACACATTCTGGACTTTGGATGAGCAAATTCTTATTGACACCTTCATTACGTGATTTGATTACACAACAACTGCTATCCTGCAAGTAAAAAATACTGCAAGTAAAAAATATCCTATGGGTCTGCCTGTGAACCTAAAAGAAAATCAAGAAAAGAACTCAACACATCGCTTGTTCATTTTGAGATATGAAATATCAAGCTATCAAATGACTATGGAGATTTTTTACTAGATAAGTACTAAAATCTTAACATTTCAGGACATCACTTTTTGAATGATTCCTGCAATCATTTAGGGAACTTGAAAATATCTTGTATTAACAGAATTACAGTAATAAAGTTTCATGTGGACTAAAATTAAGTATTAGGGTGGGATTTTCTAATTTACACTGAGGATAGTAAGACAAAGATACGACCTTTATAAAACATATTTGACCAAAACTGACACCACCACAAATGCCATTCACGTTCTGTTCAGCATCATGCTGATGAAACATATCTTAGCAAAAGAAGCCTAAGAATAAAGTTAGTAAATAACTGAGTTAACTGCAGAACTAAGAATGAGACCAATCTAGAGCTGTTTAAAGTCAGAAAGGCTTACATCTACTGAATTCAGTATTTTTTTTTAAAGTTGCATATAAAATCATATTTTTTACTAAGTACTGTGTCTCCTACTAACACCTTAGGAATACTCTAATAATTAGAAGTTGACAACATAATTTTCTGATTTGAATCACTGGTGACAGTGCACTCAGATTTTAATGAAGAACTATTTAACTGATTTTTTAGAAATCAGGTCAAGAGATACAAAATTCTGCATGCAATACTCATCAATAATTAAGGACTTAAACTTACAGGATTTTAATTTTTTCCCATTTCATTATATTTACCATTCAAAAAAAAAAGGGACCAAAACAAATGACTTTTCAAAACCAATACTGACTAAAGATTTTTCCCTCATCTACATCCTAATCCAACAGCTCATGTCCACGTATTTGGATGATACCTATTGTTTCCTGGGTCAGTCCCTGGAAAGGCAATTGCTTTTATACACATCTGTATCTGCACTTAGTTAATAGAAAACCATCAGCTGCCAGCAATCAGTAGCACCAACACCACTCCAAACTGAAGCCGAGAGAAAGATAAGCATGAGGGGCAGTGGTTCAATTTACTATCATTTCAACTACTGAAAAGGAAATCATGCTTGTGTTTTCCACGTGTTTGGAAGGTACCTGTAGCTATGCAATCAGTTAGTTATCACAGTTCAAGGAAAAATAACGATAAAGCCCAAGACAAATGTTATACCACGGAAACAAAAATAAACCCCATTGTAGTCACAAAAATAGCCTGTATTACGTTGCTAGAAAGTTTCATTCTTGTGGAAAACGCTTCAGCTTAAAATGTGCTCGTTTAGTAGCCACCAGTAGCCCTTGCTACAGCTGATAACTATACTGCAGGAATCGTAAATCTGCAAAAATGTAGTTTAAAAACGTAAAAAATAAATGCTGTTTACTCTCCGAGCTAGTATCATTTTTTAACAAACACGTGGACGTCCAGTATTTTTCCTAATACAGTTAAGCTATCAGGAATAATTTTTTGCATGCACTTCACATTTCAGATTGCCAGCTAAAATCCACTAAAGAAGAGAGAAAGCTCATTAAGAGAAGACTATTAAGGTGGCATAGAGCCCTGATCCCAAAACCAGCTGCGAAAGCGTGTAGCACTATAACCACAGACAGACACACACACGTGGAACCGGCGCTTAACTGAGCGTTTTACTCAGCGCACAGCTTCAAAGTCCTAGCGACGTGCAGGAACGAACGAGCTGTACGAAAAAGAGACCGTAAGAAAACTCCACAGTAATTTCAGCACAGCGCCGAAGGACACGGAGAGAAGTAACGCTGTGTTTCGCTCCGTCCACACACGTCCCACACGCGGGGAAGCCGCCCGATCCCCCGGGGCGGTCCCGCCGGCCGCGGACGCGAGACCTGCCGTTCCCACACCTGCGCTTTCGCTTCCCCCCCCTCGGCCGCAGCCGCCACCCATCGCTGGGGGCCGGAGCCCCCGGCGGACTCTCCGTCCCGGCTGCGGGAGGTCCCGCGTTCCCCCGGGGAGCATCTGGGCCGCCCCGGGCCCGGGCCCGGTCGGCGCTGCCCCGCCGGGGAACCCGCGGTCCGGCCCGGCCTCCGCAGCCCCGCAGTGCTCCCGCACGCCCGGCCCGCACCTGTCCCGGAGAGGCTCCAGCGGGGCAGCAGCCGCCGCCGCAGGTCGGGCCGGTCGCGGCGCGCGCGGGTCCCGGGCCGGCGCTGTCCCGGCCTCGCGATGACAGCTGCCGGAGCGCACGCGCGCGCGCGCGGGGGACCCGCCACGTGACCCGCGGAGCGGCCCGCGTCACGTGCCGGGAGCACGCGGGCGGCGCCGCGGGTGCTTCCGGGCGGAACGGCGAGGAGGGGCGCGTGCCTCCCGCCCGCCCCAGCGCGGGCTGCGCCGGCACGGCGGAGCCACAGAGGGCCCGCCCGCCGCACAGCGGCCTGTGCGCTTCCCCCGCCGCCGCTGAGCCCCCTGTGCGCTTCCCCCGCCGCCGCACAGCCCCCTGTGCGCTTCCCCCGCCGCCACCCCCGCTGCCGCACCTGCCGCAACAGAGCAGGCGGAAACACAAGCCCGAAGCTTCCGAGCAAAGTCGGTCTGTGACAGAATCACGGGGATCAGTTGGGTTGGAAACGACCTGAAATCGTCCAGTCCAGCCTATGACCGAACACCACTGCGTCAACTAGACCAAGGCACTAAGTGCCACATCGCGTCCTTCCTTAACACCTCCAGGGCCTGTGACTCCACCACTTCCCTGGGCAGTCCGTTCCAATGCCTGATCACTTTCTGTGAACAAATTCATGCCAAGTTCCTTCTACTGTAACCTCAGTAACGCTGAACAGGCAGGACCTTTCAGGTCCATAGGAATGGTGAATCTGTTAGAGCATGCTGCAAGGTCGAATTGGTTATCCTAATTAATCTCCTTTGAACCGCCGTGTCCCGTATCAGTCAGTACTGCTGTTTGAAAGTGATTTTGTTTGCAAAACTAATGTTGCTTTTGGTGACAAAGGCCCAAAATGCTCAATGTTTTTGTGTTTACGTTCTGAAGTGCCATGGTACAGTATAATTTTGACTGTTCAGATTGTTGATAAAATAAATGAGTCTGTGGTTTAATCACTGTGTGATATGCTTTGACTTTTCTTATCAGTAATCTCTCTTAATCTTTCATTTAGGCTTCTGGTTGCTACGTTCAAGAAAATAGTTAAAAGAGACCAAAAGATAACTGAAAAACAAGTCCTTTTCAGTCCTTCTTCAAGAATATGTTAAAAAAATCTTTATACTTCAGTATATCTTTGAGCACCAAAACCTTTTTCAATATTAAAGAAACCTGAAAATACCAAAATTTTGTTGGATTTTTTTTTAAAGGAACATGTCTAATGCTATAACTATGCTGTGCTCAGACACATTCATGGTTTTTTGTCACTTGAAAACAGTACTACTTGTTAAGAATGCTCATGCAGTTGTATCTCTGAATATCTCTGTATGGCACTGCTATGTCCAGCAGTGTCTAAAATGAGTCATCTTCATCTGCCTAAGGAAAGAAATTTTCTTTCACTGAATATGAATAGGAGAAACAGAGGGAGTTTTTTGCCTTCTTGCTCAAGCCTTTGGCAGGTGGAGCGTGTTAATAAAATTTTTGTTTAATGCTTACAAGAAAACAGTGCATGTTAATGTAGTTTCTCATTCAGT